TCATGCAAACAGTGAGACTCCAAAAGGATATTGATCACCTCTGGTAAAAAATGTCGGTTCTTATTTATCTAGATTCTTTGAGTCAACATTTTTTCGTACATAACTTGCTTGATAAAATGAACGAAAAACGCTGGTTGTTGTCTTCGTATCTCCTTAAAGCCGTTCTTTTCGTATAGGGCCATGGCAGCATACTGGCCACTTGTTGTTTTAAGAGTCAGTTTTGTGTAGTTGTTGTCGTTGCAGAAGTGTTCAATGGCCTTTAATAATTTCGTTGCTATTCCTCGYTTACGTATCGATGGGTTTACAGACATTCGAAGAACCTCCGCATGTCCTGGCTTGTGTTGGTCATTATGCAAAACACCAGCCATACCAACAATCGCTCCATTAAGAACGGCTACAAACATACACGAACCATCTTGATAAACTTTAGCAACGTCTTGTAAGTCATCAGATAAGGAGTGATGAATGAATCTCGTCATTGTGAAATATATATGAATGTAGACCAAAGCAGCTATGATTGCACATAAGCATAGAAGCACGATGACATCGCGCAATGACCACGTTAATGTTAAAGCAATAACGGGGACCAAGAACAGTGCACACTTTAGGTATCCCTTGACTTCGATCGCATACAGTGACGGGATTACCTCCATCATACCTCTGCGAAATAGTGTATGACACTCATATTTGTCATTTGGCTCAAAGGAACGCAACTCTACTTCCAACTTATCCATCTCAATCAAAAAATGTACTTAAAGTACAAATTCAAATCGGGTGGAATTATCTTCATCAGTTGTTTACAAATGGTACCCCTTGAGAGTTGACTGGGCCCTAGAATTTGGTCAGCTGAATGTATTGCCGGCTCAAGCTCAAGATGGCGGGAAGTCAAGAAAATGTGATACAAATTTAGTCTTCTCAAATTAAATGATTACCTGAAAATGGCGGTGAGTTCTTGACTGATTATTAGTCCATCAGTAGCGTATGATCATCGTAACCTGATTTTCTAATTATAACAGGATATCAGGTCGTTTTTTAGTCCTAAGGGCCAAAAACAACAACACAGCTCGGGCAGCAATGGCGCGAAGAAGGAAATTCCAACAAATAAATCAAGAAATAYGCAAGGAAATAAACGGTTGTCTAACTCCCCAGACCGTTCCAAGACGAAGGATAACAAAAAAGAAGAAAAGAAGAAAGCAGCAAAACGAGTAAAGTGCTTGCAAAATTGTTTGGTTTTCTATACACCTTAATCCAAAATGGCTGACTAGCCCTTGATGTCTCGTTTTCATGAAATTGTTCTTTTCTTTTAAAGTCACTCAAGCTCAAAGACAAAAGAATAATTTTATGAAAACGAGACATCAAGGGCTAGTCAGCCTTTTTGGAATAAGGTGTATAGCTTTCAAGATCTTCAAGATGTGCTTTGCGTGCGCAGTTCCCTCTGCCTTAAACGTGAATTGTTCACTGAAAAAGTACCACACAAATATTCCTAAAAGCGCAGAACAGTGTATGTTAGACAAGTGAAAACAAAGGGATTAGCATAATTCACTAAGTTACAATATCAAATGCGTGCACAATGATATCACAAGGGGGAGGGGGTACTTTACTGTTGGACAATCCAAACAATGTTCTATACTATTCTGTACTCCTTTTCTTGCATTTATGTTCTGACCACATGTAACATCCTTTGTATTTTTGGTTCAAGACAATAGTGATATCAGAAAGCGATGAAGACGATACAGACTTTATAAAGAAAAAGCCCAAAAAGACAAAGAAAAAACATGATTCAGGTATCTAATAATTAACAAATTTCACTCAGTTGTGAGTTATGAGTTGCAGCAAAAAATGTTTTTAGAAGGAGATACAATTTTTTCATACAATGGGTATTACAGTGCATTGTAACCGGTCTGGGTTGTTCAAAGCTTGATTTGCAACAGTCTAGATTAACAATAATCAGGTTTTGAAAAACCCANGTACCACACAAATATTCCTAAAAGCGCAGAACAGTGTATGTTAGACAAGTGAAAACAAAGGGATTAGCATAATTCACTAAATTGCAATATCAAATGCGTGCACAATGATATCACAAGGGGGAGGGGGTACTTTACTGTTGGACAATCCAAACAATGTTCTATACTATTCTGTACTCCTTTTCTTGCATTTATGTTCTGACCACATGTAACATCCTTTGTATTTTTGGTTCAAGACAATAGTGATATCAGAAAGCGATGAAGACGATACAGACTTTATAAAGAAAAAGCCCAAAAAGACAAAGAAAAAACATGATTCAGGTATCTAATAATTAACAAATTTCACTCAGTTGTGAGTTATGAGTTGCAGCAAAAAATGTTTTTAGAAGGAGATACAATTTTTTCATACAATGGGTATTACAGTGCATTGTAACCGGTCTGGGTTGTTCAAAGCTTGATTTGCAACAGTCTAGATTAACAATAATCAGGTTTTGAAAAACCCAACCCTGATAGTATTTCATATCTGGGTAATACAATAATAAATCACTAACTATCTTTTATAATTACTAAGCAACATATAATTTGATGAGATATTAATGCAGTTTTTTAGGAATTTTGTCAAAAACATTTTTGCAATCCTTTCTTCTGATKCAAGCCTTAACTTTAAAGTTCTTTTTCTTTTTAAATCTCATCCTGTCTAATTTTCCTTTGTAACTCTAACATTTTTATTTTATTTTCAATATTTTCATTCTCCATCAACTTTTTTTCCACCTATTTCATCTTTGTTTTTTCCTTCGGCTATACTTTCACCCTCCCAAGCACTTGAGGTTGACCCACCAGAGGACCGCCTGTCATTCCTGGCTTCTTAACTTAGATGAGAGTGCTTTCACTCCATCCTTACTAGAAAAATTAATTCCCCATTTTTTTACTTCTTCCCTTAACTCCTGTAATGGCCATTATAAAACTTATTAATAATGCATGAGCTATTACTCCAATAAGGGCTGTCCATTTAATCAGGTGATTGACCTTGTAAATTTGATACAGATTTAGCAAAGGTCTCAGTTTTAGTACYGCATCATAGACCTTCACTAGGTTTTAAAGCAATCAAAGACAGATAACAGAACTCTCTTATGAAACAGATGGCTTGCTTTTCCATGTGAGATGGATAATTATTCAAAATGTTCTGTGTTGCAGTAAATTACGCATGCTTAATAGTGACTCATTTTTTGTCATTTATCTCACTGTATTTGATGTTAATTAGTGTTGGAGTTTTATAAGCCGTTTACAACATTCGCGTCCGTGTTGTATGGGAATTACAGTCTCTGGCCTGCGGGTCGAGATTATAATTCCCATACAACACGGCCGCTCATGTTGTTAACTATACTAAGCTATAATCACTAGGCATACTCATGATGCTAATAATAACTAGTAAAACAAAAATATAACCAGTTTGCATGGATTTGCTCTTCTAAAGTCTGATGCAAAGAACCCCGTTGAGATAAACAGATCGGCAAATCCCACTTCTGAGACCAAAATTCTGTCACGATCTGGCCCGCCCCTTATCTCAACCCCTGGCCCTTTGCGCCTTCCCCAGAGAATAACATATTCATTCAGAACATTTATAACAAAAAATTTATAACATTTATTAAGGGCTAACATGAAACTTCCCAAAGTAATGATGAACGATAACTAATAGCTAAAAAACTATTTGAAAGATAGAAATAAAATAGGGGATATTTTACAATTATACAAATACTTATTGTCCTGGCGGCTTTGTTTCGAGGACTCTTTCTTTGTATCTTTAAGACAAGGTCTCTTTCTCTTGTATTTATTAGTTGAGGACTCATTAATCTCTTGTATCTGTGTTGAGGACTCGTTCTCTTGTATCTGTTAGTTGAGGACTTATAGTCTCTTGTATCTGTTAGTTGAATACTCGTTCTCTTGTATCTGTTAGTTGAGGACTCTGAAGGTCTGCTCTCAATGCTTGACATTAGCTGAGGGCTCTGAAGGTCTGCTCTCAATACTTGACATTAGTAAAAACTGACTGTGTTGTTCTTGAACTTGAAAGCGTGTCTCTCTCTCACTGTTGGATATGCGCTCTATTATATCTGTGAATATTTTACATTTTCACGGGGCATCATTAAAGTTTAAGTAATGTTAACTAAGTAAACAAATCACTGTCCGTGCAATGCATATAAACTATAATTAAGTATTTCGTTACAATGACGTCATTTACTCCATCCTAGTGTTCTTTCTTCTTTTGAGGCAAATTTTCTTTGCTTTGGGGTGATTCCATAACTTTTATCTGAGAAGGTATAAATGAGTCAAATATTTGAATTAGGCAGCATTTTAAAGGGACTTTTTCATGCAAGTAGCACTGATATGCAGCATTA